ATAATAATAATAATAATAATAATAATAATAATAATACTAATAGGTAAAAATGTAAAGAGCACACAGCCCGTTGAACGTATGCAGGCTCTGAGCGCTACCTGTAGTGTGATGTAGGGTAGAATTCGCCCATTTACTACCTTTTTTGTGGAAAATAAACACCATTTTAGTCTCATTTTACTGTTAACCTTTTTTTAAATATCACACATCCTTCGAACATAGCTGTGATTAGAAAAATGGTCCAACATTTTACATCAATTTTTCATACTGAGAAATTGCAAAGTCGAATTTTATACGTGTTTTTATAGCTATTCATGGGAGAATATTTTAAGAAATCATACAGAACGAGTTATGACATTCATGCTATGTGTTTAGCGCAGTTTTTTTCTCTGAAATACGTGACGTAAAAATGGAATGTCTATCCCCGATATGCTCGGGTCAGAATTAATGTGGAGAGCCTTAAACACTCTTCCATACCACCTAGTAGCAAAAAAAACGGCCGTTAAGGAGTCGAATTAAGGTCAAGCCCGTTATAACCCAGCGTTATAGTCTCTCTCTGCCTGTCTGCTGGGATAGAGTTGTTTGTTATAGTAGAGGTTTTACGGCGCTCCCAACTGCCCTAGGATATATAGAAGTATCTCTCTTTGCCAGGGTTGGCCCTGTCAGGACACCGCCTCATAAATGCTCTAAATTGTGCTGATGGGGGCATAAAATATCTACAACTGCAATTATAGAACTTTATGTATACATAGCCCGGCACTGTAGCAATCTAGCTAAAAGCCTGGCTTAAAAAAGAGGAAAAGGAACGAAGAAAGTAAAACAGACCAAAATTAAGAAAGACGTTTAATAGGGGAAAAAAAGTATTAAAAAATAATACAAGTATAATTATTATCCATTCACAATGCACTTATCCCCAAATTAAGAACACAAGCTTTTAAGAAATATAATAGCAATATTATGTGAAAAAGTATTATTGTATTCTGTCAAAAAAGCGTTGCGTTGTGGTGCAATCAGGCGCTCGTCAAAATAATGAAATCGAAGAAACCGACTTTTTTCTACAGCTTGGGCAGCTTTCGTCATTTTTTTTAGCACTCAGCACCTTCCTTGTCCAGTTTATAACACATTTATGTGTGGGTTTTACTGGGGTGGGGGTGGGGGGGGGGCGTTTCTTTTTTTTTGGATCAAATTAGAGCGACGTGCGAAAGGATGCCATTAAGTGTGACGCGAGGGAAGAGGGCGACAATTTGAGTCTCTTTTCGACGTTGTAGAATTGTTAGAGGGAGCAAGGATCTGAAGTAAGGTGTTTCATTTGATAGTCTAGAGCAGAGAAGTAAAATTGCCCGAAACGAAAAAGAAAAATTTTAAATACCAAAAAACGCCAGTACAAAAACATCTTTTTGCAGTAACGTGCATTTACGGTTCGCAAACTAACGACATTTTCAATAAAGCATGATTAACCCAACGGAATGTGAGGGTTTCTTGATAACGTTTCAATTAAAGTCCGATAGAGTCTGCTAAACTTAGCCGCTAGAAATCCCTCAAAGTCATCCTTTTTTTTTCTTCATGTAGACATTAGAACCAAGAAACGTGTGTCTCTGGTGTAATGGCTCGATTTTGTTCGTACACACAAAAGACAAGGGTTCGTTTCCCGAGCAGAGAAGTCTATTTTATCGATTTTCTGTGGTTGATCATTACAAGGGGCAGAATGGTAGCAACACACTTCCCAAAAGAATCTAAATTAAGGGCAGTTAAGCATTAATCATCAAGAAAGTGGTAAAGAAAGTCAGTAGTCCAAAACAAGACTTTTGCATACTCGCAAAGTCTGTTTTAATCCAGGTAACGTGCGATATAAAGACAAATATGGCTCTTCATAACTCGTGTGGTATTTGTTGTTTGCTTTTACAAGTTAAAAATATCTTCCTTGGGGGGTATTTACTAAAGCGCTTACTGGCGTCAGTGTTGTTGCCGTTAAGCTCTCAGCCGAGCTGATGCACAAAAGAGACTGGAGTTCAGTTCCCGAGATCTGAGATAGGAAGTTTATTTTAGCGAGTACTTCTGTCTGCAAGCAAGGATGTTGTATCCCACACAGCTAGGGTTTTTCCTTACGGCAGGCAGAATAGCAGCAACCGGCCTCCGAAATGATCTAGAGCGTGTTGATAAGATCGTAAAACATTTACCATTATCTAGAACGGAAAAAGTGTGAGAGGTAGTGTTGGGGTGAGAGAGCGAGCGAGAGAGAGAGAGAGAGAGAGAGAGAGAGAGAGAGAGAGAGAGAGAGAGAGATGCGGGGGAGATTGACAGACCACGACAGACAGACAGACAGACAGACAAATAGACAGATGAACAGACAGACAGACAGACAGACAGACAGACAGACAGACAGACAGACAGACAGACAGACAGACAGACAGGCAGACAGACAGACAGACAGACAGTCAACCCAACAGACAGACAGATAATTAGAGCTTTTAAAAGTAGACAACAGACAAAAATACCGACAGGATAACTGTCCTTTCCACCTCTATGTTGCAAATAAATACAAATGTGCAGTTTTGTTTCAACCTCGGAAAACAGCTCTGGTAAATTCTAAAATACCCACATGTTGCAAGTGTGCGCGTGCTGAACCCAAGACCTGAGGATCCCAACCCTCTAAAGAGTGCTCACCCACATCCACTTCTCCGCAGACTCCCCATGGACCAGCGCGCGGCATAGAAACAAAAATGGCAACAATATTATTATCAGGGCGAAACCTGGCGCATGCTGGCGAGAGATCCCTGGGTGTTGTCTTTATTAGATTTATCCCTGTACTCCAAATATGGCTTCTTATAGAGGCGAAACTACAATAGAGAACTCATTGTGAACGAGAAATCCTTGTCCAGAAGCCTTGGATGTGTTTCTCTCTCTCTCCTCTCTCTCTCTCTCTCTCTCTCTCTCTCTCTCTCTCTCTCTCGATAGCCTGGTGGTGCTGCACATATAGGTGCAATAAAAGAGGAATGAATGAAGGAAAGAAAGGATGAATGAAGAAGAGGTGAGACATTGGGTAAAAAAGAAAAGATCTGGGAAAGATGGAAAAAAAGAAAAGAAGGAAGGAGAGAGGAAACGAAAAAAGGAAGAATGCAGAAAGATGAGATATTGGATTTTAAAGACATAGCTTAGCACGAATGGGAGGGAGGAGAAGGGGGAAAGAAGGAACGAAAAGACAGGAAGACGAAGAACAAGAGAAAAGAAGGAATGGGAAGAGGACGAAGAATGGTGGAAGGAGATGTTAGTAGGGGGATGAGCGAAAAGGAGGATTTTTTTGTGACGAAGGTAGGATTGGGGAGGGAAATAGGTAAAGGAAGAGAAGAGGACACAAAAATAGAATTTAGAATGAAAAGACTAGGATAAGTACAAATGTAAATGTCAACTGATGGAATTCAAGGCAAGGATTTTTTTTCCAAAAGTTGTTTCTGTCAAACAAATGAATATTGTCTCAATCGATACCTACGCATGCTGATTTTTTTTTCCTGGTGGCATACTTCAAAATATGTTGAAAAACATTCTCCTTAGTTTACGTTGAATTGGCGAATGCACGTCAGCACGCATACACGCTAAAAATCACATTAACACACATTCATACACACACACACACACACACACACACACACACACACACACT